TCTCTCTCTCTCTCTCTCTCTCTCTCTCTCTCTCTCTCTCTCTCTCTCTCTCTCTCGAGCTCTCCCCTTTGGTTTGTTTATAGCACTTCTCACCTTCTAAAATTCCATGCACATATTTCATTTATTTTTAATGTGCACTGTTTATTGTAATGTGAAGAATATAAACTCCACAAGGACAGCATCATTGATTGCTTTGCTTACCAAGTAGCTGGGACAGTGCCTGGCACGTTGCAGGTACTCAATAAATATTTTTTAATGTATGAATTAATTTAGATGATAGGAAAAATGAACATAAATGACGTATTGAAATGATTCAAGTTGCCAAAGATAAAAATTCCCTGGACAGCAGACAGGGAATCTGTCTGAATTAGGAATGCCCAAACACTCTCATTCCTTTTCTAAATTTCTAATATTTTTGGTAGCATAATGGATGCATATCTCATCCTTAAAATCTTATCAGGCACTTAACCTCTCTAGTCCTTAGTGTCTGCATTTGTAGAAATGAGTGGTTTGATTTAATTGATCTCTTAAGACCCCATCCTCTGACAGTTTATGAATTAATGGCCAGTACGTAGGTCAGTGAAATGAGCAAAATATTTTAGTCAAGAAAACTGTGTGTTGGTCCCAATTCTGTCATAAAAATAGCTATGAGACCTTGCGTAATCTTTCATGGCATCACGTTCCTTATCTATGAAACAAAGGAATTGGACTAGGTAATTACTAAGGTCTTTTTGAGCTCAAATATATCATCACTGCTCTGCATAAAGAGAGTTGCCATTTTGCTCTGTTTTCCCATTGTCCTTTTCAACTATTTTTGTTTTTTAATGATGCGTAGCATATATTATAACATTTGTAAAAGGATCCCAGTGCCCTTCCCCCAGGGTCTTTCCCTTTTGGGGATGCTTTCGGCCATTCTTACCATCGGGGAATCCATCCCAGATTTCTAGCCGGTCATAGCGACAGAACATCCCCCCTGGAGGATTTGAATCAGGCTCCAGGTCAAAGCTTTCAAATTCCAAGATAATCTCTGACATCTTTGGTGCAAAGATAATGTAAGTGCATTCAAGGCTGTTGGGGTATTTTTCAGGGAATCCGGGGGACTTTATCACTCCACTAGGTGTTGTGTAGTTCTGAGAACATTCGGGACCTATGCATAAAAGAGAAAAAAAGAGCAAAGTGAAAATCCTACTCAAAGAACTTCACCAAGAAATAATCCGGGCAAAGACAGAATATCTTTCTAATAACAGCCCACCATTATAACCACCATCTAACCCATGCGTTACTCAGCCTTTTCACATTAGTGATTGGTATGGAAAGTCAAGTTCAGATTTATTGTGTTCACCTTAGTTTTCCATTTGTGTGGAGCCATTTAAAGACTTCTGCTGTTGCAGCGGGAAAAAATGACAAACATAAAATCACGTGGGAACAATGAATGAGTAGCAGAAAGCTCGGCAGAGCCCTAGAGAAATAATTATAGCCCCTTCAAGCTTAAATCTTTAAATCTTGAGGCTGACAGCTCTTTATTGGTGAAATAGAACATTTACAAAGGCGAGGGAGAGAATTCAGTGGAGGGAGTTTGGGTTTCAGATTCCTACACCAGTGACTCAGTAACTCTGCCAGATGTGACCTATGCCTCTTTGACAAACTAAACGTGAAAGGTAATTCGTACATGTACCCAGGGTGAGTGACTCATTCTGAGTGGTGTTGACACAGGTGTGCCGGTAACGTGTGGCTGCTAGTGAGGGCACGATAAACTGTGATTACAAGCCATGATGCCGGAAGTCACCTGATATCAATGTTGACATCCTAACCTTCTACCAAAGTATCAGATACAGTACAGTATGCCAGTCTAAAGTTGCTTGTTAATAGAAGTGTAATTTCAATAACTGTTCCGTGTTATCAAGACTTCACAAATTATGGTGATTTGTCATTTAAATTGGTTAAGAGCATTCAGGCATATATTGCAAGTTGACTTTATGACTGACTGAATGACCACAATTTCAGTTCATGGTCTGCAGCACTGAATAGGGCAGTAATCACTACACAATTGAAAGACCGCCCGTCTACACCGACATGATCCTATCAACTCTGCCCTCACTGCCAACACTACTGCCAGGATTTTCAAACAGCTTCACTTCGAAGGCTCTCTGTGCATCAGAGATGAAACAATGCTTTTGAATCTCAGGATCAAATTTGGGAATGTTCAGTTCAACAATTCTTTTCCTGCACCACTGTCTCGCTGTGACTTGCAACCAGAAGGGAGTGACCCCTGCCATGGCATGCAAGAATAAAACTTTGAATGAGGTGGTTTGTGGAGATTGTTCTTATCTAAATATTCTCCCAAAGTGCCAAGCAACTAGAGGTAACTTATTAGGCATTCATACAGATTAAATGTAACTAGCAGGTCTCTATTTTTAGTGGCTCAGGTCAGTAAGCTGAATCTCCATCTCAGTGCATCTAGGAGCTTACTGAGAAAAAAAAAAATCAATTGTTTTCTCTCTGTGCATATAATAGATATCCATGGCACTGGAGATGCAGAAGAGGAATACGTGTCAGCTGGGCACAATATACTGGTCTGCAAAGGTCTGGCTTGTTTAAAATATCTCCCTAGCCTCTTGGCTGTGGCTCAGCCTTCACCATGATGGCCTCAAATGCTTATCTATCTGATTCCGGTTAAAAAGTTGTTAACATGCGGCATTTTGCCAGGTCAATTCTAGGTAGAGATTATGAAAAGTGCTGTATTGTGAACGATCTGTTTCTCAGATACTCTCGTGGCTTCTGAGGTGACTGTGACTATGCCAACTGAGTCATTAATTCACAAAGAATATAAATAATATTGGGAACCCTTTAGAATTTTGTTTCCAAGACGTAGGAACAATGAATCTGGTTGCCTTCAACTTCCTCTCTGTGGAAAAAATGCTTTGGCTAGGTCTTTGTAAGGCAAAGCAAACAGCAAGGCTTAATGAAGACACTAGCGTTTGCTCCTTCTCAAAAAGATAAAATTGTCCAGGAGAGATGAAGATTTAATGAGACAGAGGGAAAAACAAAAACAAAAACAAAAACCCAAAAACAGGAATTAAGGGCTTATTTTCAAAACCAGATGGATTTCCGTGCTTTCGCTGTATCCTTGTCATGTCACATACCTTTGGAAACTGTCTCAGGATTTCTAATTAAAAACAAAAACAAAAACCCAAAAACAGGAATTAAGGGCTTATTTTCAAAACCAGATGGATTTCAGTGCTTTCGCTGTATCCTTGTCATGTCACATACCTTTGGAAACTGTCTCAGGATTTCTAATTTTCTAATGTATTTTGACAAAATGTGGGGAAATTCTATGGAAGAGGAACAGATTGAGCACTAGGAGACCTGAGTTCCAGTCCTACCTTCACCGGCTGTGTAGCCTTGGGTGACTATAGACCATTTTTGTTCTCATACTCTGTGCATAACAAATAGGAGTTGGACTTTAAGGTTTGAAAAAAAATTTCTTCTAACTTAAAGACTGTAATTTTCTACCTTCTCCATTATACACCAAAGTTTTTTTCAATATTTTCCTTACTCATTGTTGCATGAATTTGCCACTGCTGAACAAGCACTTCCTCCACAGGGACAGTGGCAGGTGTGGGTAAGGGGAGTGGGTTAGTGAATTCTGCGGTGAGTACACAAGAGACAAACAGCAGGGAGGGCAGGCAGCCCTGTGTGCCCAGGAGCAAAGGAGCTGCTGGTTGACATTATTTGTAAGACCGAGAGTACCTTTGTAAACATTAGAACACCACATTAGTGACAATAAGCGTGGATAATAATAACAGTTAAGATACTCTCATTGGAATTATTATTAAATATACAGACTCTTAATATTTGTAAGACCGAGAGTACCTTTGTAACCATTAGAATGCCACGTTAGTGACAATAAGCATGGATAATAATAACAGTTAAGATACTCTCATTGGAATTATTATTAAATATACAGACTCTTAATCACATAACATATCAAGTGACCAATCCTGCTCTCAATAAATGGCACCCCTGTCCCACACCAAGACCCATAGATGCTCTAGCTTCTTCCAGCATCTGGGTCCGGATGACCCAGGCCAAAGGGAAGGACGGAGAAAGAGTAATAGGTGAGGAGTCTTGGGTCTCCTGGAGTAATTTCCTTAGGCGACTGGGAATAGTTGTAGGGTTGGTGACCCAAGGTTTCAGCACCTGGGAAGAGACATGTAGAAGGGGAAAGTGGGATTCCTGGGGAGAGAATTAGGGTGGTCGAGAAGGTTCCAGGAGGAATGGGAAGCCGAAGGGACTGGTCTTGTTGACTGTCAGGCAAAGATGGTCCTGTAAAAATGCAACCCTAGGGACTCAGAAATGGCCTAAACACCTCTTAGGACTGTAATCTATTGCTCAAAAACCTCAAGGTCAACAAGTGAGAAGTTAATTTCCCAGTTGCATTAAACTAGGATTAGTATAATTCATGTGTTTTGAGGCAACTTGAAATTGCTGCAGTGTGAAAAGAGCGCTATGTTTTCGAAAGAACAGATTCATGGATTCTACAATTCCATTAAATGGCTTTTGAGAAAAACACATTCATAACCTGTATGTATATGCACAAATATATTATATTAATGATTATTTGTGGAGTATAGCAAGTGAAATGAGGGTGGGGGGAAGATGTATTCTATATATTTTTCAGGTTGTACCAATCTAGTTAGAAAACGAAACATGCACGCATGAAGAAATTTAAAAATATTAAGGAGAAACATATTGTTGGTAAGTGGGATGTCTGTGTGTATGTGTCCTGTAAGTTACAGGACACCT